CGATTTTTCCCAGCATTCCACACTGTATAATCCTATTGAAGCTGTGAAAAGCAGCAGGTGTTTAGTTTGTGTATAGTTGGCATAATAATTACACCTGAGGAAAAAACTTTAACAAAACACAGCTGCTGTTTCTGTCCAAATAAACTCCAGTAATAGTGCTGAAACTCAATATAAAGATAATTTATCATCTACTGATACAAAATCTATGTGGCAGCAGAAACTATTTTTTGTAACTCATAGGCTTTTTTTAAAAACTGAAGAAGCCCATTAATATTTTCTTTGGGCACTGGCTGACAAACACTGCCTAACATTTCAACAGCAATGATGATATACATCTTGGTATCCATACTGAAATATTTGGGTATTGGACATCCTCAGCAGCCAGTGACTGCCATTAGAACATGCTTCAGTCTCTTACATGGCCAGTAGCAGCTTAATATGAATACAGAAGCAGAAAATAAGTATGGTGTAGAAAAGAATTTTTGTTAAGTTTAAACTGGAAGTTGTAAGATTTAGTTATATATAACATCCCAACTTGGGTACTAAAGAAAACTCCCCCAAATACTGAGGGCAGAGGAAGGTATATTTTATCTGATTTTAAATACTGTGGGATAAACAGCCTAGAACTCAGAATACAAGAATTATAAGTCTCCTCAATGCCTGTGGAGTCATTAAACCTCTGCTGGTGTCACACACAGAGTTAGGAATCTTGCACCAAAAAAAAAGAAAAAAAAAAAAAAGACATTTAAACATAGCAGCTTTTAAAAATGGAATTAAATTAAAGTGCCAGAGGCAGGAATGCAGAAGTAGGGGAACAGTTTAAAAGGATGAAAAGAGAAAGGAACAAGGAAGCAGAAAAGCAAAGAACAGAATGCCATAGTTAGATGGTCAAGGAAAAGAGGGATAATTATGGGGAATAGGAAGCAATTGAGTAAAAAAAGTACAGAGAACATGACAGGCATTGAAAGGAGGTAATGACAACCAAATACAGAATTTCTTAGGATCAATACAGAAGAAGAAACTGGGCTTACCTGTGTGAGCTGGAAGGTGTATGACAACATTGTCCAAGGCAGGAGAACATGGAAGAAGCTGAGATGCAGGAGAAGGGAAGGGAGCTTGGCAGTGTGCCCCTTCTGTCAGCAGCAAAAATGGATGAGAGCCTCGTATTGAGGGTCTGTGTTTTGTGTACATTTTCCACCTGAAGCACACCCACACATAAATGAAGGATCAGGCAGCTTTTTCTGTTAAGAACTTGAAAATCAGGAATCAGGCCAAAGAAAAAAAAGTTTAAAAAAGCAGGGGAAAAAAGCCAGTGCTAATTTTTCCTTTCTTTGCCTGTCTCATGATTCCTGAGCAGTAGGATTTTGTGATATTACTGAAGTAATGCAAATCATATAATATTTCTTTAAACCCTTGGTATCCATCTAATTAGCATTTCATCCATGTTTGTGTTGACATTTTGTACGCTAACTTTCTGCCTAGTAGTGAGTATTTTAAGTTCAAGCAATATTTAAGTGTCTACGTGTTAAGAAAAAGGATACATAGTGTCCCATATTCTTTGTACAAGACCCACAATATAAAAAGCCTCCAGCAATGAACTTTACACATTTATTAACATCTTAATCTTCTCTCTCAAAGTGCTTTCAAAGGAAGCAAATAAAAATTATTTACTAAATTGTTTATCAAATGATTTACTGAATTCTATCTATGTTCAGGAGTCATCTATCTAGAATGAAATGCAGAGAAGGAAAATTGTGAGATCATTGTACTTTGCTGCAGCCAGGGGACTGGGGGCTACCACACTGCTGCTCAGCACAAGTTTAGAACATGAGTTAGAGGGTGTTCTGCAGTACCATGGCTATTCAGAGTGGCACTGAAATTGTTCCCAAGTGGCTGGGGTTCTGGAAATTGCTTAAGATGATCCTTCACCTGCACTAAAATCTTATTTCTTAGGCAGGCTAAGAAGTGAAGGTGGAGGACTTGTAGGGTTATCCTGAGTGAATTGCTTCTTATAGATAAGTTGGCTCTTTCAGAACTGGTTTAGATGTCTCAGCCCTGGGACCAGGCTATACCATACCATATACACATAAAAGTTTAATTCTAGTGGGAACCATAGACATCACTCAAAACCGTACCAACAAACTGCCTGTCAACATGGCAGCTGATATAAAGTGTAATGATGTGGACCACTGAATTCTACTATTTATCCTCACTTTTTATTAAGTTTCTCATTATAGCTTAACCTATTATTTACATTAGATTTCAATTACTATTCCCTATTTACTCACCTTTTTATTACTGTAAACATAGTTCAAATATGATTTTCTTTTATGACAAGGTAACCCACCTTGTTGATCAAGAGAAGCCAGTTGATATAATCTTTTTTCAGCAAAGCTTTTGATACTCTCACAGGATCCTTCTGGACAAAATTTCCATCCCACAGCTAGATAAACACATCCTGTGATGGGTAAGCAGCTGGCTCATGGCTGGGGCACAAAGGGTTACAGTGACTAGGGTGACATCAGGTTACAGCGGCAGGTGAGATCAGACATGGCACTAGTGGCTTGGTGATCTGCCACCAGCAGGGTTCCACAGGGCTTCATCCTCAGCCCTGTGCTCTTCAACATCTTCAGAAATGACTTGGACACAGGAATGGATGTGTCCAGCAAAACAAATTTGCAGATGATACAAAACTGGGAGGAGCTGTTGGCTCCCTCTTAAGCAGAGAGGATTCTGTACCTGGGATGGGGTAACCCTGAATGTATGGACAAACTGGGAATGAGGTGCTGGAAAGCAGGACTGCAGAAAGGTGTCCTGGTCAATGGTGGCCTGAGCAGGAGGCAGCAGTGTCCTGGCAGCCAGGAGGGCCAACCCTGCCCTGGGGGCATCAGGCACAGCATCAACAGCCGGGACAGGAGGAGGTTGTCCTGCTCTGCTCTGCTCTGCACTGGGGCAGCCTCAGCTCGAGTGCTGGGGGCAGTTTTGGGTGCCACAGTGTAAGAAAGACATGAAGCCATTAGAGAGTGTCCAAAGGAGGGCAATGAGGGTAGTCAAGTATCTGGAGGGGAAGCCATATGAGAAGTTGCTGAGATCTCTCGGTCTGTTCAGCCAGGACAAGAGTAGACTGAGGGGAGATGACACTGCAGTTACAGCTTCCTCATGAATGGAAACAAAGGGGCAGGCACAGATCTCTTCTTTGTGGAGACCAGTGACAGAACCTAAGACAATGGCCCAAAGATGAGTCAGGGGAGATTTAAATGTTAGGAAAAGGTTCTTCACAGAGAGGTTGGTTGAGCACTGGGAGCAAGCTTCCCAGGGAAGTGGTCACAGCATCAATTCTGCCAGAATTCAAGAAACATTTGGAGAGTCTGTAATTCTGTAGTTTATTTACAGTATAAATTTTGCATGCTAATACTTTTTAAACACAAGATGATGTCTCTCTTATCTTTGTATTTAACCATAAGCAGAGGTAAATGACAGAAAGAAAAAATAGTGGGAGTCCTAATCTAGGAAAGTACAAAAAATTTAATTTAGCTTTAGTGGTTTGGTTTTATATCCAGGATTAATGGATATGTGCCACAGATTGTTCTCTGTTTGTGCCTTCCTTTCATACATTAAAATGGTGATAAAATGTTTCCCTCTCTCACAAGATAAATCCATTCCTATTCAGGGGAATATGAGATATCATTGTGATGAATGCCATGAGAAACTAATAATTCTGGGTGCAGGATAAGCTTGGGAAGATTTGCACTAAATGAAGGAGTGGCCAGAAACTGAATGAGCAGGGCTGAACAACTGCCCTTTCTATTAGTTCTCATCCAGCCCATGCACTAAATGAGGCAGGGATCCTGTGGGAAAAAACACTGAGCCATCATGTAATTATGGACTATACACACAGTTAACGATGGATCCACGCAAGGAGTCAGAACAGAGGCTGTGCAAATACAAGCACATCTATTGACTCTCCTAGCATATGAGTTCTTTTCACTACATGCAAAAGCTTTTCTATGCAGGGTGGTCTGGGGCTGCTGTACCTAAATCATAAAGGTGCCCTTTTATGGGTCCATTAGTTTTCTCAGAATTTGCCTTAACATATAAATGATGTATATTCACACACAACAGGTGCACACATTCCTATGCACACGTGTGCTTACAACAGTGTCTGCTGTAGAGTAATGTAGTGGTAAGGGGTATTCTAATTCACACAAAGAATCTACATCCCACCCCTTAATTTCCATGCTCTTACTAAAGTACTTATCTTTCCAGTTGAGAATGGATTATGCAAAGGGATCACACATAGAAGAAATTTTGTTATGACTGTGGGAGGAGTAGCCAGGGGATCTGCAATTAGTGGATCGAGAATATAAACCTCTTACACAGGAATGTGCAGGAGATCAGCTGCATTCCTTCAGTCCAGAGCCTGTGGTAGCAGCAGAGAAATGTTATAAAGCTACGAATTAGAGAAGTCTTTTTTGCCCTCCCAGTTTTGGTTTTGCTTACTGCTTGTTTACTGGGAAAGCACAGAGGTACAACACAGATAGAAACCAGCTCTGTTTACCCCAACTAGGATGTTCATGCTGAAACCTAATTTTTATGTCAATATTTTGATGTTTTCACTGCTGACTATTTTAGCAGGCACAGCCAAATACTGCAGGGTTATAGACTGAGTTTGGAGGTGGAAAAATATCAAGTGAACAGCTTTCTTTTTCTTTCTTTATGGCTTTTAAAAGATACTAGAATAAATTACAGGTGAGAAACTCTTAGAATATAGACTGCCTAACTATAGATTTTCCTGTCTGGAAGATTTTCTGCTTCCATTTCACTTTCTGGGTAGCAATTACTAACAAATGCCATGTTGCATTTGTGCAGCCTTTGTAACAATAATAAAGTTGATTTTCACTCTGTTAGCTGTTCAGTGATAATTTTCAGAAGTTACTGTTCTATTCTACAGCTTTTACAGAAGCTGTTGTTCTATTTTGACAGAAGACAGTGTACCCACGTTTCTTGTTAAACAAATATTTATTCAGAAGAAATACTTTTAGTCAGAAGAAATACAAAAAAGCATCCCACATTGGTAAAAGTTAAAAGATACAATGCCAGTAATTTTTCAATGAGTAATGCCTTAAAAATTCATTTTAACACTTTGCAGTAATCCCATTATATTTGATTTGAACAAGTAATGAACATGGAGTTTTAGCCATAAATAAATTTATTTATTTTCATTATTTTATGTATCATATGACCAATTTAGTCAGTCGTATTGATACAAAATTGCAGTGCCTACACACATTAACCCTAAGAACATGGAAGAACTATGTAGTTGTGTAGTTGCCTGCATGCTCACTCAGTTCTTTGGCATATCACTAATTTAATGCAGACAGAGTACCACTGAAAATTAAATGATCCATTAGCGGTGACAGTCGAATATTCACATGTATTCATTGCACTTAATATGCATGGTCATGTTTTATATTTGGGTGCTGCAGCTGATGTTTACACATAAAATTGATATTTGATGCCCAGATGATGGTTGAATAGCAAATAGATAAGAGAAATAGCAAATAGAAAGAGAAACTCAGGTTGCATATAGGTTTTCAGTATACTATCAGTGATTTTACATACAGTAAAAAATAGCTTATAGGCCACTATCTCTTAATTTTATGCTTGGTATCCCCACTGCATTATGCCTCCTTTGAGATTTACTGTATTTTGAAGCAGCAATAAAAGACACTTTTATAAAATGAAATCTCAGCTTCACTGAAGGTGAGATCAACAGTCACTGACTTAATAGAGCCAACATTTTTTATGTTTATAAACTAAACTGGCTGTGTTGCACAAGGTACCTGACTTTCCCTCAGGACTGTACAATACTCATTCATCAAAAGGAGCTGCTTCCACTGATCCAGCCATATTGGTCATTACAGGTTTTTGATTAATCTGCACTACAGCAAAAGCAACAGATGTTCCATTTTTTGCACATGCTCACCCTCTTTATTGGGAGCTTACTGTAAATGTCTTTTGATTTCCAGTGACTTCTGATACATAAGGGTAAAGTGATATTTATCATTATGAGTTACACGTTGACTTTGCTTTTATTTGCAACTTGATCATTCAGACAACAGCATCAAAAATGAACATTAGGAATAAATGTTATTTCTACAATGAATAAGCATGGAGATATTTGATTTCTGTACCCTTTCTTTAGCCAAATCTAGTAGTAGACTACAATACTTCGAAGAAAAGGGCATTATCAAAATAGCATGATAACTATACCTATATATTTAGTCTAGAAGAATTTCCAAACATTTTATTATCAGCTTATAGCTTATAATACCTATATTACTATAGTGACAACTTATCTTCAAACTAAACGGAAATTAAATCTTAACCTAAATGTTCTGAGTATATTTTGAGCAACACTACAGTACAAAGTAGAACATTATACTCTATACTAGACTTCAGATAAGTCTTAGAGAATTATAGTCTATCATTAGTACAACACAGAAAAATAGACTGTAGCAATAATGGAACATGGCTGGATGTAGCTACATGTCACTGTATCTAACACTATTGCAGTTGGAATGGCAGGTCAGTGATGTATTGTCTTCTCTGATGGCCACTTTTGATTTCTTCTTTTATAACATGATGTTATCACCATTTTTTTTTTCAGAATACTATCCTACCCAGAGTGGCTGTCTTTGGTGCTTAATAGGTGAAAGCCAGAGAAAACCTGTTGCCAGAGATTGTTGTCCTCTAGACCCTTCATAGATGTGAACTGGCCTCTTTGGGAATAGATACTTAAAGACATGTTTCTACATGGACTGTCAGAAATGTGGAAAGGAAGTGAAAAATTAACTAACTTTTGCTTATATTCCTTCAATTTTAAATGCTCAGATAAATTGGAATACAAATTTGTGCAAAGCATTGGAGGACAAAAGGCTGAAATCCCAAAAAAGGTTAATTGTACATTTCAAAGAGACAGCAATTAACTTGCAATCAGCATTCATGACTCTTCTTGTTTTCACAAGTGGGAGTCCAAACTAGAGTTTGATCGTCAATGAAGTTGTTATTTCAAGAGCATTCAGCATCAGAATCGTTATCATAGATGCAATCTGAAATGGAAATAAAATGCAAAACTATTAATATTGTGTAGTACTTCAACACAGAGATAAAGTTATTTATTGTAATTGAATAGAAATGAAGTATTGTTCCAAATGTTCAACATACCATCACCAATATCATCATAAATCTCTCCATCACTGTAAGTTAAAAAAGACAAATAGTATATTTAAAAGTTGAGACATCAGAAGTGTATTTAAAAATACAGTAGCAGTGTGGTGCAGGCAATCTATCAAATAATTAACTTGCTAATTAGGAAAATACAATCTTTGGGGGTAACAGAACAATGTTGAGAAGATGGTCAGGTCAAAATATTTTCAGGGAAGGGTAGACTTGGATACATTTCTTTCTAACATGAAAGGGTTGCTTTATTAGAAATCCATTTTATTTATTAATTTTTTTATGTAGATATTCTCATAAAGGTATTCCTATAAAGAAATTAAATACTTAATTTTTATTTTAAAATGGTCACCAGAAAAACTGAATTAAAAACCCAATCAGTATGCCCTTGAAATTCTTTTAGTTTCTGTACTCAGCAATTACATAATAGTTTTGGAGGTGTGACTTTTTATGTAATGAAATTATATAATGTCTATAAAAGATACATGCTCCATGAACAGGAATTTTCAAATATGTGACCAAGATACATGGGCAGGCCCATGGATGACAGTGAAACTATTTGTACATATATTTCAAACATGTGCCTAAGTGTTAAATGCCTCTAAATTCTAAATGTGACAATTCTAAAAGTGACATCTGATTTGATATTTAAGGGTCTAATATGAAAAGCCTCTTGAAGAAAATGGAGAGGCTTTTTCTGACAAGAGTTTTGGATTAGAACCAAAATGCTGAGCTCCATGCAATTTCTTGGGGCAAAACTGAACCAAATCTCTATCCCACTAAGACTGAAGTACAAACAAACCTAAAGAAAATTTGGCCCATTTTAGTTAAACATTTGAAAAAGGCATCAGTACACCTAATCACATTAACCTGTTGTTCAGTAATAGAGTTTAGTACCAATAATGCTTAATTTATGTGATTTTTCATGGTTTAACAAGACTTTATGGTTAAGCAATGAGGAATGAAGCTCTGGCAAACTTCCTGCATGGATGTATGTGATTAATTTTTGACAAACAAACCATAACTCCTTAAAAATAACTCAATTGACTAGTTTAGAATGACTAATTTAATTTAGTTTAGACTAAAATAATTATATTTGAATTTTTTTACTCGACCATTTTTTACTAGAACCATTTAGAATATTAAGTGTTACAATAAATTGTTCAAAACAATCACTTTATACTTACTTCTGGACTAAATTGCTTCTCAGAACATAGCCATCTGTAAAAGTGAAATATAGATGTATTTAAGTTAAATTGAAATACTCATTATCACCTCTGTTGCTAGCACTAATGAAATGCCATTTTTCTCTTTTATGTACTTCAGACAGAAAGACATAAGAGATGGACAACAAGGTACAATGGGCACCTAGTTGATGAAGATTTTGCTAGGTGCAATGTTTTGCTTATTCTTATTTGCCTATTTAAATAGTAATAGAGGTTATGCAAGATTAGAGTTTCATCTTGTATTTCAGTTTCTTGGTTGCATGAAAGAGATGTGAAACAACATTTATTAACAAAAACTATAGCACAAAAATGCAGTATAATAATAATAATAACATAATAATATTTGCAGTAATATTAAATAACAGAATTATTTAGAGTTTCATACAAGAACAAAAATGTTTTTCAGGATGTGTACACCAATTAAATGTCACTACCTATAAGTGTTTAAAATTTTAACTGTAACATTAATAAGACCAATAATGGATATAAGAAAGGAAATACTTTAGAAAAGCTACTGAATATTATTCTGTTATTCTGGTGCATTACTAATGAAATCAGATTAAATTAAACATATTCTTTTTTAATGTATATAATTTCTAAAAAAAAACTTCTTTCCTGTCTTTGATGAAAAATATCTACTGAAATACTTTTTCAATTGGTATAATGAATAGAAAAAAAGAGAAAGCCATAACAGTAATTACATGTTTGTAGGTAAACATTAGTAAGCTGCAACAAAATTAGGAGAGTTCTAAAGAACTATGTTGTTGTGATCTTATCTTGTATTTGAAATTAATATGTAAATTTCCTTTTTTTTAATCATTAGGACTGTCTATTCAGGGTATCTTAGCTCAGTTGTCTTTCCCTAGATTTATTTTCTGGAATAAAGACAGAAGTTGATTTTTTGAATTTTTTAAAATACATTTTCTTTTCAAAATTCTTTTTAGGGCAGTCCAATGTTTTTCATGACTCCTGAAGTCTCCAGGAAATAATTTAAAATAATTTGGCTAATCTAAGCTTCTCTGCTTGTTCATATTATGGCATACAAACACAGTGTTTTTGGAAGTCACATGCATGTGACAATGCTTCTACCATTGCAAAACATTATCTAGGTTCTTCTGATGATTACTAGTAACCTTATATATGTGGGAGATACAAGCCCTGCTGGTCTCACACTCTTTCAGATTTACTAGTCTAAAATTACATGTCCAAAGTTTCAGTTTCTAAATAATTTATTATTTGTTTTTATGGTGCTTTCAAATAAGGAAGAAGCCAGCAGGTCAGCACACTCCATGTTGATTACTTGGCAAGCACTGAAAGCTATAACACATTGTGCCAGCTCCTCACTGACAATGTAAAGAAAGCTCAGAGAGGTCAAAAATTAAACTTTGGGCCACTGAAGTCCATTTATGTCCTACTGATTAGGCAAAATCTACAAAGCTGAATTGAAAGCTTTTGTGTATTTCAAAATGTGTGAGTTCAGACCAAGAAGGAATTTGAGATGGTAGATAAAAATCAGTTCCTTGTTTCACTTCTGACATTTCAAATAATTTCATAACATTTAAAATAAGCCATAGCAGAATTTGTTCATAAGATCATCAGCCCTTGCTTAAAAAGGTGAGAATACTTTGAAATATAAATGGTGGTTTTGTTTAATTGTTGGCTTGAAGCTATGGAAGTGCTTCATACGTTAATGATTAAATCAAAGAATTCATGTGCAAGACAATAACAAAACCATCTTTAGTTATGGATTTTCTGTCTACCTGGCCTTCAGAAGGTAAAATCATAACTTTAAGATCTGAGGAACAAGAACAATTAGAGCAAATAAACAAAACTGTCATACACTTAAGTAGGATTCAAACTTTGCTAACTAATGTGTTAGCAAAGACTGGGATCTATTCAGAGGTTTTCAGGGAGGATATTTTTATTTGTTTTGCTCTTTCATGCATAGCAAAGCAGTAGCTCCTGTCATTATTTGAAAGGCTTTGAAGACTATGAGAGGAAAACAGCTAACATGAACTACTTTATACTTTGTTATTAGCTTGATTCAAAAAAATGTGGCTTTGAAAGCTGTTTTTTTTGGGAAGTGGCTCTACTAGTGCAATCCATATTTTGAAAAACATATGTGTTGTTATGCAAGAAATTCTTCCTCTCCCTGCAGGCCTGCCAGGAAGAAGGCTGTACTCCAGTCTGTAACAGTTGAGTACAGGAGGGAAAAAAATAAAAGGAAGGTGGCTGAATCCTCTTCAGAGGTTTATAGCATTGGACTGTATTCTACATAGATCAGAGGTAAAAAGCAAAGGTGAGCAGGAGGATACTGCTACTTTGAAAGTAGGCTGTTCCAGAACAAAGGGAATTTTCACTAGGAGATTTGGAAAGTGTTGTAACAGAAGCTCATTAAGAAACTGAAACCATCAGGAGATGGTTTTGGACTTCTCCAAAAATTCAGATTTCTGCCAGTGCAAACCCTGGCCAAGGATTTCAAAGAAACACTGAAAGGCCTTGTGCAGCTCCCAGAACAAACAGACATGCCAGCAAGGACATATGCCTTGGATTAGCTGGGAGCTGGGGGAAGACTCCAATGCAATGTTCCCCCCTGCCTGTTGAAAAGATTAAACTGCATCTCTTCCAAACTAAGAATATTGTTATTGATTTTCTCTTGGCTGCAATCAATGGGCTAGTGCTATCCAGAGGTGCAGCAAGGATTTTAGTTTTACTAGACACAGTGGGCTATCATAGCCACACTCCTTGTGGCAAAGGGGGAGACACAGAAGCAAGAAAATCATCTGGTGATTCTAGCTGCAAAGAAAAACTTTACTAAAAAAATGGTCATTTTTTTTTCTAATACTTAGTATATCTTGTCCATTAGAAGCGTTTTGGATTTTTTTAAGGCAAGCCAGTGCTAAAACACAGTAATAAGACAACAACAATCTGCCTCTTGTTAACCACCAGGCAATATAAACCTTGGTAGACCAGGGAAGAGGTTTTACACATCCTACTCAATTCTTCTCTGACAATTTGATATGTACAACAGTTTTTTAACATAACTTACATTTTCCTTCTTCATTCCTGCAGAGGACCTTGGTATCATCTGTACTTTCAATAATGTCAAGAGATTCCCCTGGTTTAATTTGTAAGTCTTTATATCCCCATCTTTTCTGTGATAAATCCTGGATTGTGGTTGTGGAGTAAAGAACTTTTATTTCACCATCGAACTGAAAAGGAGAAAAAAATCCCCAAACCATGGTTAAAACCCATTAATGTTTTTCCATTAATATTCCCATTTATTACTAAATTTTTTTTTTAATTAACGAATATCTGTATATGCTACAATATACGTATGTGCCCATACTTGCCATTTGGACTTCGAGATGCTCAGATCACTATTTTTACATGTAGTAATCCTTTCCCTTTCAAAAGCAAGTAATGGGCAACAAATTAGAAAGCACTATACAGATACTTTGTTTTTATATTTTATGTGATGAAAACATTTTGAAAAAAACTTACTTTGAACTTTTTTCTGAACTCTTTCTCTTCTTTTTCCATCTTCTTGAGCTTTTGTGCACCTTTTTCATCTGACTTAGGTTTTCCAAAGCTTCCTGATTTTGATGAACTAAATCAAGAGGTTACAGATAAAACACAATTAGGAACAGAAGATTAGCACACTTTCTGATAATTTTGGTGAAAATGCATTTGCCTTCATGTGTCTTTATTATGCTTTTGTCTCTCTGAAAAACTAATATTGAGAATACAATACAGATTTGACTTCAAAATAAATAAAAAGTTGGGTCTCTCTTTCCTACTTCTACTTCTCCCCAATATTTGTATATCTATCACATAAGTGAATATTAAAAATTAATTTTAAGTATCTATCTACTAAGACACTTTAGAATCTCTCAGTAAGAACCAGTTTTTCTTACTATCTATTTCAAGTTCTGTTGTTTTTTGCACATACCTGATAGCACTGACTTTTGCTGAAGACAGTGGGTTTCATGCCCTAACTGCACTTTCTGATGATGCACCTGGGAGTGTAAAGTCTGATTCTACTTTTTGATCCTTGTTGATCTCGCCAGGATGAGAGTTTTACTGATGATTAATATGTGTGTGTGTGTGTGTGTGTGTGTGTGTGTGTGTGTGACCTGCTCTAGATTTAACTTAGAAGGACCCCATATTTTCCTATGGATACACAGACCAAAGTGATCTCTCTCTTTTCATATCTCCAGTCTACATTATTGTGGTGCACTGTCACTCCATCTGAGTGGAGTAAGTGACAACAGGATGTGACATGTCACAGTCATCCTCACAGATGCAACTGTGCCCGTAACACTGTACTCCAGAGATTGCCATAATTTTCTGGCTCAGGATAAAAGTTTTTCAAGCTTAACTTACACCTCCAAATATGTTGAATACTTCAAACATGGGCACTGCCTTCTTTTCTCTTAAAATACTGCAGCAGCTGAGATAAAGTATCTATCCTAACATTCCCTAAATTTTGATGGAAGAAAAACTACAAACTAAAATTAAGTTCCTTTAAGCCAGCGCCTCATTTTCTATCTCTTTTCCATTAAGGACTGAATATATTGATGTGCAAAACATGCTTACTTATTCTATAATCTAATTATTATTTCACTCTATAATGGAAGAAAGAGCATTCAACTGCCATTATCAGCAGTAGGTTTATGAGAACTACAAAACCTGACAACACCAAATAAAGCAGATACTAGGAACAATCTGCCTGTAGTATATACTTTAAAAATGTCTCCCTGTGTATTAGATTTCTAAACAGGGAAGTAATATTTTCACTTGCCTGGAAGCACTTGGCGGAGAAGGGAAGTCTGAAGAATCTACGTCGTCATAAACATTGTCTCCATAATCTGAAACAATAGCATTCAAAATAATGAAACTTTATTATGTGAAAAATGAGATGTGAATACATTGTGTTACAATGTATGTTATTTTAGCTAAATCGATAAGAAACTATGGCAAGTACTGTAGCCATTTACTGTCTATGGTAACTGCAGGTTCTATTTTGCACAACCTGCGCAACAATACCCAACCTTTTCAGATTAAGATTCTTTATTAATAATAAGAGATATTCACTGAAATTCTAATCTTCTGAAGCTAAAGCAAGTTTAGCACATGAGATAGCCCTTAATTTTCAGTTTAATTTATCAAATTCCCACTGTATTGCACTAAAGTATATTTTTTAAATTTGATTTTAATGCACATTCAATAACTTCTATAGCACCCTGGTCAATGCAACATTGCTTAGAAGTGGATATGAATCATGGGTATGTTAGTTTTTAGGCCATCTTGCAATGCCAAAGCAATGAAGAGAATTCTTAGCCCAAGGATACATTTTCAATCATGTTCAGCATGTTTGTAGAGGGGAAGCAATTGTTTGACTTATTAAACCACTGGCTAGAAAAATCAGCAGGATATAGAAGGTTTAGAAATCTGTTCTGGAAGCAGACTCAGAAATTCTAAGAACTTTTGATGATTCTTATATGTTCTTTTACAGAGACACTGCAAGTGATAAAAATAGAAAAAATAATTTCTATTTACTTCTGAGTGCTTATTTCCAGGTGCTTCTACTTAATGCCAAATAAAATGGACTAATGTAAATCTCAGGTAGAAAAATCACATTAAATACATTAAATTGTTTACCAGGGAGCTTGCAATGTATATGTATCTCTTTGTCTGCAGTCAGATCAGTCACAATATTTTAAATTTGTTTACTGGAACTGGGTAAGCAATAGGAAGTCCTGTTTCCTTCCTTGGATGTATTTTCGTAACTAGCACGATACAGAGCAATGTATACAGAAAATAATCAGGAATCAATATGGAGATTGAACAATAGGTTATTAATTACCTTTTCCAGACTGCTTTGTAGAAGAAGGCATGCTGGGGGAAAAAAAAGTTCATTAAGTATCTATATCACATTAACAGCCTTTTTTTGTAACCTAAATAATTTTAAAAACTTGCAACACAAGGGCTTCAAGTAATTTCCAGACATTCTAAAGTGCCACTAACACCAGCAATACTTGGGGACTAAATATATTTTTATCAATTAAAATAAACTGGTTCAGAACCAAGTGACTGAAGAATGTGGCAGAAACACCACCCGCTGATTTATTCTCTAGGTAAGATAGAAAACAATCTTTGCATTTTTCTATTTGGCATATTATTCCTAAAATTTAAATTAATGGGCCTAGATTTACCAGTTCATCTCAGCTACATTTTACTGGTGAGAAAAGTAAATTTTAACTCAGTATGCAGCAAAGTTACATCACTAGTGGCACAAAGATGATAGATTATTCTGGTGCTTTTCACCAAAAAAAGAATTTGGCATATTTTGATTACCAGACTTTTGCAACAAATACAGCTTGTTAATAGAATAATTATGCAGGTAAAAAGAAAGCTCTGCATTTTTGCAGAAAAGTATCATCCTGAGCTGCAATTTGATGCATGATTCATTAGGCTGCTGTGAGGACATGTTAGTAGCATGTGATCAATGCTATATTAGAATTAGTTAATGTGCACTTTGATTTCCTGGCAGACTCTTACAACAAATTTTCATTTTCTTCTGTCTCATTGACTTTGGCTGTTTTTTCTCGTACACTTTTCTTTTTGCCATCTTTGACCTTTAGTCTCTTCAAGATTCCCCAGGGCCAGATACCATTCTTATCTTCATCCTGCGATACAGACCTTTGGAGTATGCATGTGATTATCACAATGTAAAATGTAATGTTCTTCTTAAAAGGCCCAGTAAAATTCTCCATTGATGCAAATAATTATCATTCATTCCAAAAGTGAAGTTGTTTACCCAAATCCTAACATGCTAAACTAGAAATATGTATGTTAGGCCATGTGTAGCTACTGAGATGTATTTGTAGTATAGAGATTAATCTAGTGGCTTACTGTTTTCATGTTGTTACTCAGCAATCTAGAATTTTAGTCTGTTATTTTAATTTCAGACCTAGTCTGTCTAGTTGGAAATTGGGAGATTTTCATGATTACAAACTGCTTTTGGTGATATCAAAATTACAGAACAAAACTTCTTCAAAAGACTGAAGAACCATTTTCTCTAGCTTGACATATCCATTTTGATGCATACCAACTTGCTGATCATCCTCATACCTGCTAATTGTTATGCTTGATTCAAAACCACTAAAAACTGAAAATATTCTGTCAAAGAAGCAAATTATTTAAAAGATATAAAAACATACCTAGCTATAGCATCTTCATCATCAATTCCATCATAAATGTCTTGATCAGAAGGAGGAGGTGGGAACATGTCTTTAACAGATCAAATAGTGAGTTAATGCAATTATATTTCATGTTGCTGAATAAGGTATTCATTATAGGCTTCTTTACTGTATCAGATGTGTTTGTAATTTATGTACTATCCTTGCAAATTGAATCTTTCTGTAAACTGGCACAGACCCTTTATTAAAACAGATTTAGACTTATCCCAGTTTAGAATGCCATTCACAGCATTTAAATGTAGCACTGCCAATCACAAGAGCATGGATACTGAAAAGAAATGCTTTTACAGTGTAGTCAATGAAATTCTAAATGGCTGATTTTGGTGCAGACCTTATGATGACTTTTAAGTTTTTATGTGTGACTCAGGTGATGATTGAACATGTCGGACTAAGACTCTCAGCAGCTGACATCTTTTTTTTATCCAAAGAAGTCAGAGACAAGAGCAATGTAATCTCCCCATTTTGGTCTCTGTTTTAATCTTTGTGCCCCACCTCCTTCAGTGCAGGATTAGCTTGGTTTGCATGTCCAATTCTAGGCAGTGGTCACAGTAGACACTGAAATCTGTATTTGGCTGGCAGAAGATCCATTCAGTACTGCCAGGGGATGCTTCTGCCATGAACAGTATCTAAACTTGAAGCTGAGAAGATGAGCTGTGCTCTTGTGATTAACAAAGAATGCTGCATAAATATATGTGCTAACAAAGGGAAAACTGGGTTTGAATGTGTCAGCTTGACAGTGTGAAGCTGTTGCAGTTGGGCCTCCAGTGTGCTGCTGCTATTGAAGCTCCCTTTAACTCTGTCAGCAAAATGAAGCTTTAATTTATAGTAGTGCTGGCTATTTCAGAACTGGATTTCTCCGGTACAAAACCTCTTGCTCATGTTATTATTTCTCCAGTTACATCTGTACTGTTTTGTGGGAGGATTTGCCTTCACACACAAGTAAAAAGTTAAAGTATGATCATCTGGCATGCTGGTAATTCACAGTATCTGGAGACAAACATTCTGTCTCACTCGAGTTCCTATAGGTGGCAGAGAAGTTTAGTTGGCCACTACCCCTCCTTGTTTGTTGCCTGTTAGCTGACATTTAACTTGCTTATGGATAATTACTGCATTATGTTGAAGTTGCAGAAGTCAGCTTGTCAGAAGTCAGATTGTGAGGGTAAGAAATACACAGAAAAAACTCCCCCCAAACATGTAAGTAGAACTTACTTCCACCTCCACCTTGGTCACCAATTTGACTGGAAAAGCAAACAAAAGACATTTTAAAGAAAAGCAGTCATCCTTCAGAAAAAGAAAACACCATGATCACCCATCACTTCTTCAAATATTAATTCTAAAGCTTTTGGCCTTGGCAAAAATATTTAGAATGTATTTTATATTCCTGTTGATATCTTTAAATTAAAGTAAGAAATGTGCCTTTGAACCATAGGATAATTTGTGTTGGAGGGGGTCTCAGGAGATCATGTAGTCAGACCTGATGGGAATACAATTATAATCTGAATGAGCACTAACAGTAGAGCCAGATCCTTTAGATTCATTCCTTATGAGGTAATATTCTTGAAATTAAATGGTAAACATGTTAATTTATTGCTCAGCTAGATTTCACTGGGTATAAGTGTATGTTTCTAACAATATGGAAGGATTCCATATTAGCCCAACATTCTAGCAGTAGTTGAAAAAAGCCTGAGAGGTTCATAGTAGCTGAGATTACTTCCAGGTCAAAGCCTTGCCTAAAATTATACATCAAAACAAGGTACTTGTTAAACTCTTGTGCCAACAAATACTGAAATACAACACTCCTAGTCATTTATTAATTTTGGAATATTAGCAATACTACTGATAATGAGATAATACTATTTGACTAAGAGCATTTTTTTTTGGAATGGCATTCTTCCAGTGGTTTCAAAACATATTGATATATGTCAAACCTTCCGACACTTCATGCTTATGAACTGAACAGAGTGCTATTAATCACTAGAGAAGAAAAAAAAGTCAAAATACAGCTTAAAGGATTTAATGAATCTAAGCCAATCATTAATCCTTTGAAGCTCCTTGGAATATACTGTTATTTTAGTAAGCAAACAGTGCAATTGTTTGCCTTTGAATGCAATACATTTTCTAAATTTTTTGCATTGAGGTGACTGTAACGCTTGCCCTACTGAAAAGGATTGGCCAAGGATACCTCTGCAATGAAGTAACTAATGGTGAGATTACCTGAGACCTAGAACAACTAACACGGCTCTCATGGCTAAGTCACAATGCTTTGAGACCAATGTGCAGGGAGGAAAACTAATACTGAGCAACATGGAAAAATATCCCACAAAAAGCTATACTGGGTGCATGAAAAATGCCAGCCTAAAGGCAGACTTTTCCATGTGCTGCTGTTGGATCTCATAGGGGTGTTCTATCAGCCAGACAGCTGCTGTCTTTTTATTCCAAGCAGGCCTCTAAGTTAAGGAGCCTCATGGGAAGCAGTAAAAGCAGATGTAATGGCTGAGTGCTTCAAAATGGTTGTCCTGCATATCGAATTCCTTTATACTCATATGCAGATCTCTAATCTGAATCCCAGGCTCTGTTTCTGCACATCAGGACATTTAATGAAGAATGGTTTGTTGAATTACATGTAAGCAGGGAAATTTCCTGAGAGGTCTGGCAACATAATTACCACTGTCATGCTAGGCTATGGGATAGCCATGACTCTTGTGACAAGACCACTAGGGTATTTCTTGGCCAGCAAGTCTGATCTGCTGCTGGATATATCACTTCTTTAGCTCCAGATCTATTTGACATGAAAAAGATGACACATGGAAGTAGAGAATTTGCAATGTAGCATTGCACTGCAATGCATGGAGACTGTGCCATAGAGAAGAAGCTTCTGATGAATTAAAAAAGGTATAGCTTATACCCATCTCATGGAATTTGAGAGGCCTTGTTTTCAGGGTTAAATTCATAAGCTGCACCCTTTTCTGAAGTGTTACCCTAGACAGGAATTCAGAAGTCATTTCTCATCAAAATGAAAGGTAGCAAGACTTAAATATTCGTGCTAAGGCTCATGAGAGCAATGAGGGTGACCAGGAGTTCCCTGGCGCAGTGAGTGTTTCCACTGCTTTTAGAGTTTTTTATCTTGCATCTTAAAAAAGGGAGCATGTGACTCTGAAAGACAGAGCAAGTAGAGAGAGAGGGGGGAAAGAGAATTGGACTTCCTACAGATGATTTGTAATCCTGTATGGCTTGCATTTTTTTTTCAATGGAGTAGGTCCTCTTCCAATAGTATGGGTTCCTCCTAAGTATGCATGCTTACAGATGCTGGATTACAGAATTCATTTATACTCCTCTGACCACATAGGAGCTATTCAGTCTGAATAGCTACTTATAATACTTGCATGTCTCTTACATAAATGGTTGTTTTGTGACATTTTTGTGGGTATGTTGTTGGAAAACTTCCCCTGTCTAGCTGACCTAGATGAATCACTTGTTTCTTTTCATGCATTCCTTATACATACCTGCTAGTAGAGTCCTGCTCTCCAACGTCATCATACATTTCTTGGTCACTCTCTGCATGTTTCACAACAGCTCTGGTAGATGGTTTTTGCTTTCTTTTTAAAGAATCATAATCAATCTCCACCATGGTTGTTTTAATGTATCCATCTAAATAAATAAAGCCATGCAGTTTAAGGATCATGATATAGGGATGATTTTAACAAGAGGTTCAGAATCAGTGACTATATTGTTTTGTATGATTTCTGAAAACTTTCAAGGAAATGTCGCATTCCAATCAGCCTCATCTATCAACATAAATACAAATATCAGATCTATCTCAGATCCCCCTGTAAACCCTCCTCAGCTGATGTTTAGTTCATATTTATTTGCTTCTCAGCTACAGCAGAAGAATTTTCTGTGCAGGAATCATGGGACAGACTCCTTTTCTCAGCTGGCTTTGGGATCACTTGTGGCAGGATAACTACGCCTGCCCCTCATCCAGTCTACCACAGAGAGTTGGTACATAAAGGGATAGCCTGGCCTGAAAGGCTCAGCAAAGAGGCATCTGGCACCAAAAAGGCCCAGGCCTCAACTAGGAATCAACATTTTAGCCTGAAGATTTTGATGTGGGAAGAGATAAAGGAAATTTTCTTTACCAAGAGACCCTGTTTTACAAACTATAAGACACATGAGTTATCAGAGACACAGAATTCTTCTACACACACACACACCCTTAAAGTGTGGAAGACCTCTCCCTGGAGTCTGGGCATATGCTTACTTCCCTGAGGATGGTGGGAAAGGATCTTGATGTGTACTCCACCAACACTGGGATGGTAAAATACATTGAATCCTAAATTATATTATTTCTTCACTAGCTGTATCATTAATAATAGGTTCCTTTAACCTCATGCTGTATTTACCTACTAGTAATCTCTTTTTGTCTTTATTTCTGTGTAGTAATAGTTTAAGTCTTACGTCTGTTAGCTTTGTGTCTTTTAAATAAATGATCCATTCTATAACAGACCAAACCAGCCATTTTCAAAGAACTTGTGAAAGACAGTGGGTTTTGGAGTGGTGGTCACCTCAATAATGCTACTACCTGCTGCCAGAGGCCTGGCAAAAGACAAGGACTTATCTAAATTCCACATCAATTCGCAACACCTCTGCAGTCTTGTGGCATATTTTAGGGCAGTCCATGACATAAACTTCCTTACAGGTCATTTGGACAATCATGCACATTGATTTTTCTTCAGGTTGGCAGACACACTGTAGCTAGATTGACCAGAGCAGTTGAGCTGAGATGAGAATCTCTGTCTCTCCTGAGGGTAATTTTTGACAGGCATAGTGCCTGTACAGAAGAGTGCAAAAGTGTATTTCTGCAAGGTGAAAAATACTCATGCATTTTTTTGAAAATGGAAAATTCACCACTCTCCTTCTTATGAGTGAATGCAGTTTTTAGTGTCTTTCCTCTCAAATATAAGGCATTGATCTTTCCTCTTAGTTAATGATAAGAATTAATTTTCTTCTTTTTTTTTGGTCTTCACAGACCTGACCTGTGAACATGGAAGTCTGAAGCATTGGTGTAAAAAATTGATCTGCTTCAAGTTTAGCTGCTGCAAGAATTAATTAATGAAAAGTAAATTAATGAATGGACTGCACATGCACTAGAAAATAACCTTCTCCCAGCCCTCACCAAGGTTTGATTTACTGTGTACAAAATGATTCATGTAACTGACTTATTTTCACAATTTCAAGGCATTGTGGAAAAGCTGTTATTGGAACTTACCTCTTGAGATCATCTTGGCCAATCTCTCTAAACAAACATGATCCTCCATTAGAGAAAGTTGTATAGAACTCTGTGCTGTCAAGTTTTGAAGATCTCCACAGGTGGAGACTCCTCCACCTCTTTGACCAACATTTTCCCTTGCTTGGTCAACCTCATAGTAAAAGAAGTGTTTTCTGCTGTGTGAATAGGACGCTTGTGTTTCAGTATGTGCCCGTTGCTACTTGCAATGTCACTGGGTAACTGGAAAGAGCCTGGCTCCATTTTCTTTACATCCTCTCACCAGGTATTTATGAACAATTATAAGACACCTCTTAATTTTCCTTTCAGCAGGCCCAGCTCTCTCAGATTCTCTTTGTATGAAAGACAGACAGTTCCTTACTATCTGTATATATCTATCACTACAAGCTGCTGAGCTGGTATCATCTACAATTTTGTAGAACTCTGTTCTACATGTGTGAACTGTCTTACTAATTTTATTGGCATTTTAGTTCCTCTAAAGATCAAGCAAGTGCTTTTAATAATTCTGTTTGATTTTTATGGATCAACCTTTTATAACCCAGGAGCCAGATCATCAACCTCATTATACTCAAAGATCTACTGATGATACTTACACCTTAATAGGAGAAACATCTTGGATTTCAAAGAAAATAAAACCTTGAAGTCACTTAGAAACTTTCCATAGGAAAAGGAACAAGAAAAACACTTAAAACAGGCCATTATATTCTCTAATTCTATTTTAAGAATACCCATGTTATGTTTAATACAAAGAGATGAAAAAACACAATACTTGTTACTTGCAGGGAGCTGAATTCTGATGCTATTTGAAGACTGCTGATGGGGAATTAACCCTCAGTATGTCAGTGAAGGTCCCAGAATACTGTGCCTAACTTGTTCCAGTGCCTATAGGGGTTACATTACATTGTGCAATAACTCTGTGCTATGAACTGTGCTTCATATGCGGTCTGAGGACAGAAGGGTGAGTTGGGGTCATTATTTACTTTGGTAGCCAGTAACTCAGACATACTAGGGCTAGTCCTTGGTATAATGCTCACATTTGCTGTCACGCAGTGAAGCATTCAGGAGCACAGTGAAGAAAGAGAACTTACAGAATCCTTTTATCCTGCCCAGCCACTTTCCTTCTGGGTTATCTGTGAGGCGAATGATTTCAATCTTATCCCCCTGTTTGACAGTCAGTTCATTCTTCCCTCCCTTGTGGTCAACACAAGCTCGTGCCTGATGAAGGACTTCAATGGGTCCTGTTAACTGAAGAAGAAACCGAAGATATCACAGATGTGGAAAAATATAGTTCATTCCTAGGCATTCAGAAAAAAAGTAAAAATAATGATATTGATGGTTATTTGTTTCATTGACATTTGAAATAGTGTGGGCAAATAAAGAGAAAGGCTTCCTCCTGCTCCAATTATACAGCTTAAATTAAAAATCAGAATTTAAAAGAGAGGGAAATGGCATGGCAATATAGCAATTGAAGAACTAACTGGCAAAATCACAGAAATACTAAGATTAAAATCAACAAACTAGCCTATGACACCTTTTATGCATTTAATTCCAATGGGTGTCTCCATTTATTTCCAGCAGAACTACTCATAGAATCAAAGAATCTTTTAGGTTGGAAAAGACCTCTCAGATCACTGAGCTCTACCATTAAACGAAGACTGCCAAGTTCAGCTAGACCATGGCCCTAAGCACCACATCTACAGATGTTCTAAATACCTCCACTTCACCAGGTACCTCTTCCAATCCTTTGCAACCCTTGTAGAAGTGAAGAAATTTCTTCAACCCATGAAGAAATTTTTCCTAATATTTAAATTAAATATTCCCTGTAACAACTTGAGGCCATTTCCTCTTTTCCTATCCCTTGTTACTTGGGAGAAGAGATTGATACCCACCTGGCTAAAACTCCCTGTCAGGCAGTTGTAGAGAGTGAGAAGGTCCCCTCTGAACCACCTTTTCTCCCCAAATCCCTCAGCTGCTCCTCACAGGACTTGTGCTCCAGACCCTTCCCCAGTTCTGTTGCTCTTCTCTGGACACGCTCCAATTCCTCACTGGAGTGACAGGCCCAAAACTCTCCATGGGATTCGAGGTGCAGCCTCACCAGTGCCAAGTACAGGGGAACAATCAGACAATCCCTGATCCTGCTTGCCACAGTGCTCCTGACACAAGTCATATGAGTAAATATCATTAATATTAATGTTAATGGGTCTGCCACATTATGCTTTGTGTTTACCATTCTATTCCGTAAATGATCTTGCAAGTACTCACAAGAGATGATCACACTGTTTATTGATGTTCAGGATTCATTTTGTGTGCTCTTCACATTATGAAGAAGCCATTTTAGGATTTTGTATTTGTGACTTTAAGATATATATTTCAGAGGCCTATTGCTCTGGCCAATTCTAAGTCAGGAATATCTATCCTGTATAAGTGGCCAATACATGGGAAAGAAAATGTGCATTAAAATATATTTGTTTAAGAATAATAAAATATACTATATAAAATATATTTGTTTAAGAATAATAAAATACCTTAATGGCTGCAGGAGCACGGTCTATAAGCTAAAAGTGTTCTGTGCACTAATGCCTATACTTCTTGTGACTGGTGTAAAAAATAGACTTGGCACCTAATAAACACTAGCTAACTCACTATTATTAATTATGTGTACCTTTAATATTTGCTTCGTAATTCATGTCAGGCTCTCCACAGCAGACCAAGCCCATGATGTGAATCACTATGGCTTTATGTGTGCAGAGCATATAAGAAGAAAAACAAAGCTGTCCACTGTGTACAGTGACACTAAAAGTAGCAGAATGGAGAATTGTGGGTGGGTATTAGTTAAGAAAAACTGACTGGCAGACTTGTAAGCTGTGAGAGCATGCTGACCACCAGCTATGCAAAAATGATTTAAACCAGAAAAAACTCTCTCATCATTTAGCCCCAGAGAATGACTGCTGCTCTCCTATACAAGTCTTATTTTCCTCCTCCTCATTTAGCCTGGAATTTACTGTAAGTCCCTTTCTACCAAGGCAAGGGCAATATGTTGCAATACAACTTTGAAATTTTTAAAGGGCTAAATACTTTCGTATCTGACTACAGTGAAGCAAATAACACTATGTGTACGGGATACAGTTCCCAATTTTATTAAGGGCTTTTGATGCTATTCTAATGAAGTAAATGATTAGAAACTGAAAAGTGAAAATGGATGATTTTAAAGCTTTCTTACATAGAAAAAAAGGTGAGAAAGTAATTTAATGAAAACTGTAAACACAGTCTTTACCATCCATCAGTGGAGAGCTTGCATTCAAACATATGCCAAACAAAAAAAAGGTAGCTTAAACCCTTATTCAGAATTTATGCAGGTGTTTGAACTACCTACTATGAACTACTACCTACCTATGAACAAATAGTTTCATAGCCAGGTGAAATGAGTATTTTGAAATCAACAATGCTAAATAATGCTTCTTGCATATCGCTGTCCACATTACCAAATAAAAAGCTTACTTTGAACTTTTTCCTCAGTTCATGCTCTTTCTTTTCTTTTTCCTTTTGTTCTTTCTTCTCTTGATCCATTCTTCGCTTCTCTTCTTTGTCCCGCTTCTTCTCTTTTCCCCTTGATGATCTGAAAGTGCATTGCCAGGATAGAATGTGTGAAGAAAATCTTCCTTAGAGCTACCATACCCAAGGCTAACAAAAAACTGCCAATAAAAAAAGACTTCTTCAAGTGAAATCAAAGCTACAGATTCTAAACCATAATGTAGCTGCAACAGATAAGAGTAAGCAGCCCCTTACTACATTTGTAAGTTACAGTGTCTGCCCTCACGAGGACAGCACACCAGACAAGGTTATCCACCTCCACATGTGTGAGTCCAAATGTCTCTGAGCTAATTTTGTTGAGCATGCTTGTGAACTGGCAGCAGTCTAGGTGTTGTACTGGATGCAGCTGTTAAATATTTATCTGGGCCACCAGTGGCTGATGGGCTGAACTGAGGCCTGAGCTGCCACTGGACTGTGTTTTTAAAATTGATTGCAACCTATTCTAGCAGTCTACATAACGAGTCAGTCTTCTGCACTCATTTCTTCACACCAGGGTACACTACCTGCTGTGCCTTGTGTACTGGAAGGTACTGGGTTTGGGAAATTGGGATGGAATCAGGCCTACATCTCCAGCTCTGCCATTTGGCTGGAAGACCTGTGTTTTACAAATACTATGAAACTGATCAAGTGAAACTCCCTTTTATTTTTTCCCAATACTTTTGCTAAACAGGTAGACTCAGATTGCTAAAAAAAAAGTCTGAAATGAGGATCACTTGGGCTATAAATCAAAGAGAATTCAAAAATAAATTTTTGCTGAAAATTGTTGTACATCTGAAATATTCTACATCAATTACTTATTCAGAGGGAATTAGAATTTTTCTTTGGCTATTGTAATACAGTAAATCCCATAGATTTAGACATTACCGGGGCAGAGAGAGTCATCAAAGGAAAGGTCTAAATGGAAGAAGAAAAAGCAGAGCTTGTATTCTGTCTCTGTAGCTATACTAGTTGACTCAGGCGCTGAAAATTGTCATTCCAGCCTCTCATAAGAGTTCTAAGAACATTTATTTGAAAAGCAATAAATAAAAACCACAACAAAAGATCTACCTGGGACCATAATACTTTGGGGCTGAGCTTATTTTTCCTCCTAGGCTGTAATTCAAACCAGGGGTTCAGACATACTCTGTAGATCCAAAATCAGAATTCTGTTACCTCAGTCACGTTACTACATTATTTAATTGCAGGAGTTTTGCAAAACCAGGGCATGGCAGGTCTAACTGGAAAAGACTCTGACTAACAGCCAAACTTTCTCCAGGTGAAAAGAATGAAGACAGTAATCCCTGGCAGGGACTGCAGCAGAATGGCACTTTTGTGCCGGATTAAATAGACCTATTAGAAAAGATAGTAATAAAGATAAAATAGGTTATAGAGTTCAGATTTATTACCTGATATCATTAATGTCTTCATACATCTCTCCATCACTTTCTTGACCCTATAAAAAATAATCCATTTTCAACGGTCTAAGTACAATTGGGAAGACATGAAGAAACTTATTCTTCTATATAATTGATTCATACAATCTATATAAAAAACTTTTATAGCAAAATGCAAATACCTTTATTCTTCCCAAAACAAGTTACTGCATTATTCAAATGGACTGTTCTTTTATTTCTGCTATTGTTCTTTTACAATATCATAGCTATGAAGTCTTGGATTGTTAGAATCACCTAAGCACATTGCTTAATCCAAAATGGATGTTTTAATTGCAGAGTGTGTCCTGTAAACTCTATCATTGCTGATGATTGCACTGCCATGATTGCAGCGCCATTATGTCTGGGTTAGCCCTATTTAAACTGGAATGCTAAGGATCTAAATGGGATTCAGATCAGGGTCCTTATATAGCCAGGTGCTTAAACATATTGATAAAAATCTGTGATTAACTGACATATTAACTGAAATATTCTATTACCAGAATGGAACAGGGCCATTATTTCTATTATTTCTGGAAAATTCCAATGAAATGAGATGTCAGTGGTAATATAAGATGTAGTTTTCTATTTTATTTTTTAAATAAATTTTTGGTGTCTAGCCAGCTTTGATAATTTGTTCCAGTTTACTCTGCTTCTCTGATTTTATTTCTATCCTTCACAATAAACAATTGCTTCTACAACTTACTGTGGATACACTGGATTAAATCTTCAAGTAATTGTCTAATGTGTTGAAGAAGTTTCACTAAACTTGTAAGTTTTTGCTAAAAAAGGATAAGTTTATGTTGCTGGATAGTACTTACCCTCTGTGTATTTCCATGACCTACAGAAACAAAAAAATAAAACCGGGACATTTATTTTTTTCTTGTACAGAAAGCAATTCCTTCTAGAATTAACTATTTAAAACTGCCTATAACATCAGTGATACTAACTAGAAATTTTTATTATGCAGGCTTCTATTTTTTGATGAAGGTATGAATGCAAAATTCAGGTTTTCTAAATTGCTTTTGTAGAAGAATGCAAACTAAAAATATCTGCAAACAGCATATTTCATTATGTATTTTAAAAGTGGAAAATTTGTTTTAAAACATCTTCAATGATGTTAGTGAATTTACCTATGCTATTTATTTACAAAATCACTATTTATATGAACAAGTAATTGTCAAAAACCTAATAAATTGAAAGAGACCTCAAAGAAATTGCTTGCACCAGCTCAACAGCTGAACAAGTAGGGAAAAAGCCCTTTTCCTAAGCCAGTCTCTGCCCTGGGCAGCAGGAAAAGATATTCTGTGAATCTCCTGATTCCTCCTTACTCTCCAGGCAGGTAGGTAAGGAAAGCTCTGTTCCAGCTGTACAGCCTGCAGTGCTGTGAGTCGTGGATGGCTAGCATACTAAATGATTCACAGAGTGCCTGGCACAGACCAAGTGCCACCAAGGAGGGAGCAGAAGGCAGATTGAAATTCTTTGTGTCACAATCTGCTTGTCTGCTGCTCCTGGTACAACTCACTGCTTCTCACTGCCTCAGACCACAAAGTGACAGTAAAAGCACAGTCAACCCATTTGTTTGTTTGTTTGTTTGTTTGTTTTAAAATAAAGTATAAAACAGTGCCTTCTTCACCAGACCACACAATATCAACTCTGAAAGAGCAGCATTCATTTTGATTCAGGTTTGAAGATCTGGTGATGTGTGGGCCCAGCATATTTCTAACCAAACAAAAACAAAAAGAAAGATAAGAAAAAGAAAAAGAAAAAGAAAAAGAAAAAGAAAAAGAAAAAGAAAAAGAAAAAGAAAAAGAAAAAGAAAAAAGAAAAAGAAAAAAAGGAAAAAAGAAAGAGAAAGGAAAAAGGAAAAAGAAAAAGAAAACAAAAACGAAAAGAAAAAAGAAAAAAGGAAAAAGGAAAAGGAAAAGGAAAAGGAAAAGGAAAAGGAAAAGGAAAAGGAAAAGGAAAAGGAAAAGGAAAAGGAAAAGGAAAAGGAAAAGGAAAAGGAAAAGGAAAAGGAAAAGGAAAAGGAAAAGGAAAAGGAAAAGGAAAAGGAAAAGGAAAAGGAAAAGGAAAAGGAAAGGAAAGGAAAGGAAAGGAAAGGAAAGAAAGAAAAGAAAAGAAAGAAAAGAAAAGAAAAGAAAAGAAAAGAAAAGAAAGAAAAGAAAAGAAAAGAAAAGAAAAGAAAGAAAAGAAAAGAAAAGAAAAGAAAGAAAAGAAAAGAAAAGAAAAGAAAAGAAAAGAAAAGAAAAGAAAAGAAAAGAAAAGAAAAGAAGAGGGTGGGGAGTGGAAGAAAGAAAATGAAAGCAGTTTCTGAGAGTATTAATCATGGAACAGTAGATCCACTAGTGTTATGCAACAACCATCTTCACCTATAAAGCAGCAGAGCCAGTATAATTGCTTACACAAATCACTCTTGAATACAATAAACTTTTGTTTATCTTATAAATACAATGTGCTTAGAGCTTCTCCCAGTAGCCATTAATTAAAATGTATAAAATGTTTGCATCTTACCCTGTGAAACAAATTCAACATCATCATAACTTTCTTCATTTTCTAGGTTTCTGTAAGTATGAAAAAGTAGAGGTGAAACCTATGAAGATAGTTTTATGATTACATTTTCATTAACCATTTTTCTGTTGCTTTTAATTATCTATTTTATACAAAGGCTGAACAGTCTATTGAGCCCTATATCCTACTTAAGTACACACAAGATTTTCTAAATTGTTCTCTCTGACTGTGGCTCAGTATTTCAGGTGGGGCCACCTTGATCCAGAGTAAAAAACATCAAAGTGAGACAAAGGCACTCAGAGCATGGTATGAAAAATATCATAAGCAGATGGGCTGACTGAATGGAAAGAATCTGTTGGACTTTTTAACCATTTTTACAGGTGCAGGCTTCTTACAGTGCAAAAGTACATCCGACTTTTTCTCAATGCTAAATATATCTCTGAGACTTTGACTTGCTGGTTTAAAGTCTAAACAAAGGACAAGAGAAACAATGATGAAAAGGTAAGGCCAGGTAAAATGTCACCAGGCTTATGTTCACTCACATTGTTTCAGAGCTGGGCTTGATGTTTCTGGGAGGCAGACTAGGAGCTGCTGGCACCTGCAGGGATGGGTGAAAGGCTGGTGGAGGAGGTGGCACAGCAGTGTGTGATGGAGGTACCGGTGGGGCAAGTGCTGCTGAGGAAGGTGTTTTCTGTTTCAAACCTTCATTTTTAGGATCTGAAATATAGCAGAACAGATTGAATTTATCAAACAAACACCTGAGGAAGAAACTTTGCTGTGTTTAGTGAAGGTTTCGGGTAAGATATTAGTCCTGCACACACCCCAGAGAAAGTCTATTTTGTTGAACCTGCTCTTAGATATTTTTGCTGCATTATCTTAGCACACTAGAGAGAAGGAGGCTCTTTATTCAAAATTGTTCTCCTTGTACAAGGCCATGAAAATGCCTTTGCCAAGACATGAACTAGACACAAAACCAGCACAGTTCATCCAATATATTAATTCTTGTGTTTAAAGTAAATTATAATTTAATTCCACAATTTGCTTAAAAAGACCAGCTGCAGAGTTTCATATTGAAATGAACAGGGTCTATGCCTTTATTAACAGTCAGCTCTTTATTAAAAAGTCAGCTCGGCAGGGGGCTCAACAAGGAGCTCGCCTCCGCTGTTGTAGCTTCTCCGGCCGCCAAAGGGTGAGCAGGCGTGCAGAGTCTGTCCCTGGAGCCTCCCTCTGTATCTGAAGTCCCAGCAGACCGTCCTCTCTCCTTTCCTCCCGGCACTCTGGTAGCTGCAGGGTGGGGGGGATGCGCAGAGCCTGCTGCCGAAATTCCAGCAGCAGTTATCCCTTTCCTTCCCTCCTGGTAACACCAGGAAGTGTGTGTATACTTTGTTCCTGCTTCCCACAGCCCAGTCCAGTCTCGTCCTCTGTAGGTTATGGTGACAGGTCAAACACAGACTAGGGATGGGGTTCCCTTTTCCCTAACCAGCACACCCATCCAGCCCCCTCCACTGTGCCCATCTTTTCCATTTAGGGGTGTTTTTCATCCCCAAACCCCCCTCCCATGATTCCACTGGATTATTTTGCATCCCAGTCCTAGAATGGTAGTGAGGGTGGGGGGAGGTAGGTGATTCCCAGGAACAATTAGCTAATTAACATTTCAATGTCAGTACTTAGCCCAAGCCAAGTGTTCCAGCCAGGCTGTTTTGTTCATAACAATATGAGCACTGATGTAGTCTTGCTGAGATTTTCTTACTCAGAGAAAGAGTTTTAAGGGAAGGGATGAGAGACAAAAATATATTTTGGCCTTTATAAAGAGAGGTACAAGTCTCTGAACATCTTCAAATACATTTTTAAATATTTGTTGTAGTTGTAGAAGTCTGGACTTTTCTAGACAGCTCAGATTTGAAAAGTGGCAGTCTGTGAAGCTCCACAGAAGCTACACCCTCAACAGACAGGTGTAGCCTCAAAAACTGATGGTGCTGTGCACTAGGCACAGAAGCCACAATCACATGAGTGAGCTGGCATGCACGGTGCTGCACTGCATTCATGCTCCCTGCAGAAGCCACAACTAAACCACTGCTCTGAGGGTTGATTTTGACAGAAATTATTCTACACAAGCAAATTAAGTCAAGGTTTGGATGCCATGATGTTTTTGAAGTTTTGTGTTTTTTTTACTATTATTAGTGGATTAAAATCTACCAAAAAAGAACTATCCCCAGCTGCATGGAGGAAAGTCCAAGGAAACAGTGGGAAATCCAGAAAAATCCAAGGAAAAGGAGAACAGTGGGGAAAAAACATTCAGAGTTCTGTTAAAATCAATTACAGCTGAGAAGAAACCCCTTCTTTTTGGAGAATTTATTTAAGTTCACACCTGCAAGAGAATAAAATCTTGTCAAGTAAAGGAAATTATAACCTCATTGAAAAAATAGTGGTTCAAAACACAGAACCATGACAAATATTTACTAAAGTTTAATGGCAAGACTGAAAATTGCAAGAAGCTATTTTAAGAGCTTTTTTAGCTTATTGGGTGTCTGGAATTCTGTCCTTATGATAGACAGGAAAAGGGGAGTTGGTAACTTTTGGATGGATCCTTTCATATCTCACATGGAAATCAAAGTGAAATTACCAAGCCTTGACAGTTTCTGTCCTTACTAGCACACAAGTAAAAAAATTATGGATAAACATTTCTTCATGGATGCTTAGACCAACTTGTCAGCAGTTGGTCTTGTCATACAATGGTGCATTTTAAACCTGTTAAGTTCCTTCATTACTTAAACAGCAAAATACTGATAGTCCCAACAAGGGTGATTACACAAATGAATTCTTTTGTAGTTTGTGCATTAAGGAACATGCATATTACAAAAGAAGATCCTTACCATTTAAGACATGTCAAGATTAAATTTGCACCACTTATCTTTTTAACATTTTATTCAAAATTATAGTCCAAAAATCAAGGGAAATAATCCTTTCTCTTAGTACTGAGGAAGCTACAGCAGGGTCAATGCCAGCTGGAGAGTACCCAAAGGAGAATAGTGAGAATGAGGTCTAGAAAACATAAATTCCTGAATATTTTGAATAAATGATGGTGGTTTAGAGAAATGTAGTAGGATTGGGGTAGAAAAAAATTAATACCTAAGTTTCTGGTGGTGAAGAAAGGAATAACTTATATTTTCCCCTCTTCTTTTCCATAGTGAAGAGGCAATAAGTAACATGCTTAAAGGCATGAAACATTTGTTAGAAGAAACTTTCTAACAGTGAAAGTGGAATTTTCATGCTTTGAGGTCCACATTAAAAAAGTAGGATAAATTTATGGTGTGAATAAGTTCTAGTGCAGTTGTTACGCTGTACATTGGGATGGACATTGACATAGTGACAAACAACTTCTTTATATCCCTTCCAATTCACTGCTGACATACTTTGATAGCTGTCCTGTGTGTTACATCACATTTGAAATATTTGTTGCTATCTTGAGATCAACAGCTGGAACTATATTAAAGTAACATTTTGGCCAAAATGTATCTTTCAGTTGTTTGAGAGTTGTTGACAAGAGAAAGAGTACTACAGAGTTTTTGTAGTGGTACTTGTTTAAGTTTCTTACTTATTATTAAAATCTGCGTATTACTATTTCCTAAGTTACTCAAGCTTCAGGTTCTATTACTTTTATTTTTACCTTTGCACACAGGGCCAAAAGCCTTTTTATCACCACTGTTTTATATCCGAAAGGTATTGACACCACTGCTGGAATTGTAACATAACTCAGATGAGTTTTCAATGATTTTAAAGCCTTGAAATTTTAAATCTCATTTAGGGGTGCTTTTTTTTTTTTTTTTTTTTTTCTTTTTCTTCCCCACATAGCAATTATTTCATAGCTATTTCTGTTATCTCTCCAAACTTTCCAACACTGCAGAAAATCTGGCACTGGAATTCTACAGAGCATACACTTGTTTGTCACATGTAATGATGAAAATTGCAAGTCATCCTTCATCTGGCCATATGTCTACTGATTGCATCCAGGGGGTTTCAGTATTTTCTGCAATTGTCATCTCCTCCTGTTTTGGAAGTGCAGATTCCTGACTATTAAACTAATATCCCATGAGCAAAATGCTTTTATTCAGAAACTTTGTAACTATATGAAAATTCTTTAAGGGTAAAACTCCAAGAAGCTGATAACCCTAATGCATCATACTCTTGTATCTCCTCATAGCCCTTACACAATTGTAGAGCTGCTTATAATTTGATTTTTTCTTCCAAATCATTACAGAACCTTGTTTCATAGGTATGGTTTACATTTCTTTATTATATATGTACAATTGCACTTGAATTAAAGCAAACTTTGCTTAAATGAACCAAGGTTACACATGACTGTGCTCTTGTTGTATCTGAATATTTGCAGACAATGTCTTAGCATTTAATTCTTTACAGTCTTTATTCATCCACAGCCTACAATTCCTCATTGCCGTAAAACTTCTTATAAAGATGAATACCACTGATATGTATCACCAGATGAATTCTAGATTCTAACCAAAGAAAACAATCAGAAAGGAGTCTGTTTTTTGGTTTGTTTGGTTGGGTTTTTTGTTGCTGTTTTTTGTTGTCCTGAATGCCATGTTAAATAGTAGTAATAATACTCTCATTTATTTTTGTGTTTTAATAGGGAATCCTATATCAGTTTTTCTGTGGTTCTATGTTGTCCTAACAGAGTGTTGTGTATGTGCACAACAGGCATATGAACCTTTTGTCTTCATATTGTATTACTTGTGATAAGTCCTTTTTAGGACTAAGGTAAAAATTCTTCCCAAGTCTCTGTGCATAATACTTCTTTCATCTGATGTCTCTTGAGAGTCAAATCCAGGCAATAGGAAAGTGAGCCAGGAAAGGACACCACATGCATTTTAGATTAAGAGCTTATTTTTAAGTATAAAGTCTGAACAACCTGTCCTTTTTAATTTTTGTAGTTTGTTATAATCTAACAGTAAAAAAATGATCATCATATTAATGGAAATACTGCTTTTTTATTCTCTATTAGAACTGACTCTTCTCTGCCTTTAGAGTTTTAATTAGCTTAATTAGTTACACCTATGACCGAGACTGATGTAGATGTAAAATACTTAAATTCTAATACTAGAAATAGTGGAGTGATTTAGGTAGGAAAGTGACATGCTGAAAAGCTGTTTGGAAAAAAATGTTGTAATAATCAGGCCTGCTGAGCCAAAGCTAACATAACATTTCAATAGTGGTTTTTTTTTTTTTTTTTTCCTGTTTTAATGGAGCATTTAATTTTAATTCCAGTTCCTATATATATATTTTTTTTTTTATCTGGGACATTTGGTACTATAAAAACATGGAAAAGCTCTGTGGAGATAGTGGAACAATAGTCAACTGCATACACTCAGATCAAGAAATTAAACTGAAACTACATCCTGGCTTCACGTGCACCTGAAGCACTCTCATCACAGTAAACAGTGTTAAGGGTGGTCACTATGTGGTAGCTTTGACAACTAACACCTCAGTTTCTAATAGCCTCTCCCCTCAGGACTCTCAGCTTTTTCACATGTTTTGCTGCACTGAATAAAGAGAGGCAGAAACGGAAGCTCGTCAAATAGAAACAAAAGAACAGAAGAAAAGGCACTGCAGCTGTGTAGAGAAACTTGCCATAAACACTGTCCACAGAATGTCCCAAATATCCCATTATACTGCTGCTTGTGGCATTAAACTTCTTT